CAAACCTAATCACTATGTGCCTCTGGTATCTGTTAAAAGCACTCAGCCAGAATTTCGAAATATTTTAGTTCGTACTCAAACAAGTTTAAATTCTGCAAAAAATATTGTTGTAATCGGAGAAAAACGCACTTCAAATATCCAACTTGTTCAAATACCCCACTGTTCTGCTATTCAAAAAAGTAATTTGACCAAACCCTAATCGAATATTAAGAATTTTTTTTCTGTGAACAATAAACATTTCTATCAATTTTACAAAAAGTATTAGAACTCCGACCATGAAAGAGTTTATCATTAAGAAAAATTGTTAATAAACAATCATAACTTTATTAAACTATGATGTTTATTAAAAAAAAGGTTACTATTTAAAACCTCATTTAAATAAAACAAGCAATCGTAATTTAAAGTTTGTTTTTTGTTTTTTTGTTTTAAAAAAAAAGAATCTTCAGTCCTTTTTTTTTTGATACAAACATTTTTATTATATGTCACGGCAAAATTAATAATTTTAATTTTTTTCGTTTTTTCATAATTTACAGACATAATCATTTAACATTTCTGAAGGTTTGCGTTAGTCGCTTTTATTTAGCTTTTAAAATATCAATTGAAAATTGCATTAGTTAATTCTTGCGTAATGGTAGTCCGTGATTTAAAAACTGAAGTGACATAATGTCACTTCAAGAGAAATAGTGACATAGTGGCTGAAGTGACATAGTGTCTAAATAAAAGAAAAAAAAAAGATTAAAATTAAAGAAGTGAATATAAGCACTAATGTTTCTCCAAGAAGAATTGAAGGAGGATAAATCTCGTGGATAAAAAATAAATTGTTTCACAAAGATTTGTAAATATAAATACCCAGAAATTTTCTCGACTATAAATAACCAAAAAGTTAACACACAAAAAAAAAACTTTTTTATAGATCCTTTAAAATGGGTAAAGTAAAATTAATATTTGTTTCTTTAAATAAGACGAAATAATTAAATAAATCAAAAAAATCAAAGATAACAAAAAAAACAAACAAATGATAACAATTAAACAATGCAAAAATATTTCATTATTTAATCAGGAAATTACTTATAATAATTACGTATGTTTATTTTTGTCTAAATTTTAATTTCCGTTTGTCTTAAATATATTTCTAATTTCAAATCGATGCTTATCTTCTATGTTTTGCGATTTAATTATTAGAAGTTCTTTTTTTTTTTCAAATAATTTACTTATTATCAAATTATTTTAAGTAAAAACGTTATAATACTTTTTTCTTAAAATACCATTTAAGTTTTTTATTTATTTGAACTTTTATGCTATATTTTGCTATACAATGTTATATCCGAAGATATTGTTGGCTTAGTATAGGTACAGCCGCAAATACTCATTAAGACTAATCCAAAGTAGTTTCCGTTATTGACCAACATTTTTGAGTGCAGAAGTAATACTCAAGCGCTGAGTTGGCGGTGGCGGGATTTGAACCCGTATCAAACAATAATCCGGGTTTTAACATTTCGTTTGACGCTCTCCTGAGCTGGATAACTCCATTGGTTAGAGCGTCAAAGTTTGTTATATATATATATATATATATATATATATATATATATATATATATATATATATATATATATATATATATATATATATAATATATTTCCACAAATAAAGTTTAAATACCAAGTTCATGAAATATATTTTATATCACAAAATAAGTTTACAACAAAATATTTCCAATCTCTTTTCGTCCGTTGGTGTTGAACATTTTTTTCAAGAGTGTTAAGCTCAGGGGTGGCGCCACCCCTAATTAGGCTGTTCAGATAGGTTAGGTTGATCTAGGTTAATGAAGGTTTATGATTTTGGGTGGTTTAGAATATTGAATAAAAAATTCATATCAAATTAAAAACTTTTTCGGCAATCATACATAATTATTGCCAAACAATGCAGGAAAATTGATCGTCATTTAATGCAGGAAAATTTATAAATAAATTTACTTTTTTCTGCAAAAATGTCAAAATCAATAAAATAAAGATATACAAACAGTAAAATTAAAAATAGACAAGCAAACATGTTTCAAAGTTTACATACACATATTTCAAAAAAATTGTACTTCTCAGCGAAAATTCATTTACCTTGTATATTTACAATATAAAAAAATTAAAGACAAGCTAAAAACAAAAACTATCAACTTGAACACAAAAAAATTATAATGAAATAGTCATATACAAATTACAATAGATTACTTAGTATCATAAATAAAAGAAAAAACTAGCAAACAGAAAACAATGATAACAATTTTTTTTATCAGTTTACATTTATTTACCATAATTTTCTGTTATAGCGATATCCAGATAAAGTCTATCTACGTGTTACCCACGTGGTGTGATCGTTTGATTTTAAATGTCTTAATACAAATATTTAATCCCGTACAAAATCAAAAAAAGTTATTCACCATGAAACATCGCATGAGTTTGTACAATAAAACTCATAACTAAGCAACAGAATAAACAATGTACAAATACAAAAAAAAAAAAAAAAAAAATACATTTATATATATATATATATATATATATATATATATATATATACATATATATATATATATATATATATATATATATATATATATATATATATATATATATATATATATATATATATATATATATATATATATATATATATATATATATATATATATATATATATATATATATATATATATATATATATATATATATATATATATATTATATATATATATATATATATATATATATATATATATATATATATATATATATATATATATATACATACACACACACATATATATATATGTGTGTGTGTGTGTGTATGTGTGTGTATATGTGTGTGTGTGTGTGTGTGTGTGTGTGTGTGTGTGTGTGTGTGTGTGTAAATTTGTGTTCGAGAACTTTTCCTCTTATACTTTCTTTTTAAAGTTTTTTGTTAAATTGTAGAGTCAATTTAAATTTTATTGATACTTTTTTTTATTATTATTACTATTTCTATGCTTTTGTAATAAATCATTTTATTTCCTACGTTTTAAGAGAAAAAAGAAAGACTACGTATAGTAGTCTTTCTTTTTTCTCTTAACTTTTAGATAATTAAATTTTCTCTTAACTTTTAGATAGTTAAATGTTTAAAGCTTATAGAATATCTTTTGGTAAGCTGAATTTTAATGCCCTAAAAACGACTGATAGCGTCATGCAATTTTATTACGGAAGAGGAAGTTCTGGGAACACCTTAGATATTCCTTGATATTGTTTTTATGGCAATAGTTTTTACGTGGGCAGAAGTAATTTTTATTTATTTAACAATCAAAGAGAAAAATAAACAAAAGTTGTTGATTTTGTTGCTTCGGATTCGGATTGATCGGTCTTATAGATTTTAAGCTTCATTAGAAACGCCTTACATTAAAATGTTTAGCTATGTTAAGCTCTTTTCCTATGACATGTTTTACTTACGTAAAGCTCACTCTATCGTTTAGGGACTAAAACGATTTCTTGTTTAAAGCTTTTTTTGTGCATAGAATCGGTTTCATTAATCGGTCTCATTATTCAGTTGAAATGTATATTATTTATGCAGTTGTTTTATTTTTATTATTATTGTATTATTTTTTTTTATCTTTATAAAAACTAAATAACAACTTTTATGTACAAAATTTAACGTTTTAAACATATTTGTAAAAAGCAACAACAATGTCAAAGCATGATTTTTTTAAAGGATCACAACTTTTTATAGGAATCAGATTAACAAATAATTTTAAATAATCAGATTATAAATTAGTAATATACTACTTTTGTTAAATTGAAGTAAAAAATATCACAAATTTGCTTAGATTAATAGAACGATTTTGGATCAAATATCTGATACAATTTCCGGAAACAAGAATATGCTTTGCAAATTTTTTATCTTACGACTTGCTTTATTTATTTGACATTTTTTATTTATTTTTTCACAACAGCCACATATAGCATTTCATCATCTTATGTTTTACTATTCAAACACAAAATAAAAGTAACAGAATGTACTACAAAACAATAAGTTCATACCGTAGTTTTTTTTTTTTTTTTTTTGCATTTTTAAACAACGGACGTTGGAGTAAAGTTTTCATTAAAATAAAACTTTTGAAAGGAAGTGATCAAAAAATTGCTTTACACAAAGCATTTAATATTTCAAAATAATTTACTATATATGTACACTGGCAATATTCAAGTATTTGTGTTTACTGTGCGAAAATACTAAAGGTACTTAGCCCCTTTGATTTGTAGCAGAAAAACAAATAAGAAAATGTTGCGAGGAAGCCGGCGTATTTTTTGACGGCGTATTTTTCCATTTTAAATTCTCTTACGGTCAACATTTTTGCGCATAAAGTAATCAGACGCGTTTTTCATAAAACTAATCGTTTTTAAAAAATAGGTTTTACGTTTATTAACTACGTCTGATTTAAAAAAAAAACAACTACGTCTGATGAAATTGTTTACGTAAAAGAGTATTGTGGATAATTAGTTTAAAAGTCTGATTCCATGAAATTAACTTCGTTTTTTTTTGAGTGTTTTTTATATTCCAAAAGTTTCTTGATTTTTTTAAAAAAAACTCTTGTTTTAATTTATTGCTATAAAAAACATTTTCTTCAAAACAATAAATAAACATTTTCTTCAAAACAAGAAAGAAAGCTAAGCTAATCTTGGCATTTGCCGAGATAGCTTTCTTTTAAAGTAGTTCTAATTAGTGGCTTGTTAAGCGTAATTAAAAGTAAGTAGTTTCAATTTAAATTATCTTATAAATAGTACATCACGGGTGGCCACAGCTCGAACGATATTTGTTTTGTTAACCGAACGGAACATTACTTTAGTGATGAAGGCTTTACGTTCTTAAAGGGATTAGTGAATGAATACTTTTTGTTTTAACTACGTTTGTAAATAATTCATGGAAGTATTTTTTTAATAATTTAATAGTTTTCTTATATGCTAAAACATGAAAAAAACCGATTCATTGTGATTTCTGTAAATGTGTAAAAACAATATTTACAGCAAAAAATATATTCGTAGGGTGCATTTCGCATTTTAAAATTATGTATAAATATTTATCACTACAGTGACACCCAGCGACTTAAATTGATAATTAATTTTTGCTGGATTTTGTTTCAGTTAATATATTAGCAGTAAATGGTTAGAAAGCTTATGGATTCCGATGACTCTTGTGACGATTCTATTGATCTTTGTGACGAAGATTCCCAAGATAATCAAATAGTTGAACTAGCACCTTACCCTTTTCAAGTTGGTGGGCATAATTGTATTTTAGTTTATGATGAAAAAACAATATGCAAACCATTAATTGACCAGGAATACCAAGTTTATACACATTTCCCTAAAGAACTTGATACATTTGTACCTCATCACAGAGGTTCAGTTGACATTTTCCTTTAATTTTTTTTTTCCATTTCTTCTTAATTTTATTTTACATATTGTTTTTGTTTTTTTACAGGAGTGGTAAAAGTTTATTTTGAGAAATCTGATGGAGATATAATGGCATTTGCTTTACCAGATAACTGCTCATCCACAGACAGCAATCGAGCTTTAAAAGATTACTTTCTTACTCATAAAAATAAACTAAAAAGAAGGTATTTTGAATTAAATTTACTATTGTGCAATAAAGAGTTAAGTTTTTTTTTTGCTTTCAAAAATGTTATATATTGTCAGTATACAAGAGAAATGCATAAAGTCCTTTTTTGGCAGAATAATCTTTTTAATTTGTTTAAACAAACAAATTAAAAAGATTATGTATATAAAATATTTGTTTTTGTTAAATCTACCAAACTTTTAAATGTAAGCCTCAAATGGTCGAATGTACTCCAGCGCTGGGGTAGTTTCGACCATATCATTATTAGCAAAATAATAAATCTATAAGCTTTTTTTCTTTTAAATGTTTTATTATACAAGTAAAAACTTTCCACAAAATATTTAAAAACAAATAGTAATAGCTATTTTATAACAAGATTTGCAAGGTTATATCGAAATAAAAATAACGATGCTGTTTTTTACGTCTTTGTTGAAATCGCAGACTTTAAAAGCGTTTTTTTTTTCAGGTTGATAACTTTTCCTTTTTTTTTAAATTTTTTCCAAATGAAGTTTCTCAATCTTTTCCTTTTTCTGGAGAGTCAGCATATATCGTTTTTTAATTATTTTGTCTTTGAGGAGCTTTAGGCAAGGGCTGCACATGTTCTAAAATCAGTTTTTAATTGTTAGAGTTATTCTAATATAGGAGGTTTCATTGGTAGATAAAGTGGTAAATTATTTTGTAATAGTTTACCGATTACCCCTAGACTTTGATTTGGTTCTCCCATTAGAATTCTATTTGTGAAATATCTGGGCATGAAATCTTTTTGCGGCTTTTGGTTCAGACAATGAATTATTGGAAAGACTAATACTTTTTTGTTTTACCACATTTTTATTTCTTTTATTTCTATTTTTTTTTGTTACATATTTTTGAGGCATCTAAAAGATAAGAGAAATAAATTTTCGTGGTATTTTCAAGTACCGATCGAATGTTCCCCAGCTAGGTAGGTCAAATGTACCCCACACGTGTTATATATAAACAAACCAGCGTTAGTTTATATATAACACGTTTAAAAGCCGAAATCAATTTTTTGAAGTAAACCAAACACAAAGGTTTTTAACTCAAGATATCATTAAACAATAAACAACAAAAAAGTTTAGAAGGTTAAAGTTGGAAAAGAGATTCTTTGCAGATTATTTAAAACATAAAAAATTTACCTTTTATAGCAATAATTAGATTTTCTTCTAAATAAGTGCTAATACTAATAAAGACGGATTGATGCTTATTTTCTGCAATAGCTAATTAACAGACAAAATATGGATAAAAGTTTTAAGTGGTAATTTTAATCATGCTGAGAAATATTTAAAAAGGTTGAATGTTCCCCGTCTTCCCCTATGGAGTTATTTATACCACTATTTAGTATTTCAAATTCTCTATCGTTTGATATACCACACAAATTTAAAAAATCAATTACTAATAAGTTATTCAGATTTTTTATTTTAAATATTACACAAAAACTTATTGTTTTAACTATTATGCAAAAACTTATTTATTCATTATCTCAAAATAATGTTTTTAGACTTGGTGCATTTTTCTTGTATACCGACAATATTAAGTATTTTAATTTTTTTAATTTTTATTTTCAAAGATCATCAAAATACTCATTAAGTTTACTTTTATTGTTTTTCATCTTTTTTTAAATCATTATTACTAATGTTTATATAATATAATGTAATATATGTAACATATGTACATATAATATATGTAACATAATTACTAATGTAACATATAATATATGTATATATTATATATGTAACATATATTATATGTAAGTTACATATAATATATGTAACATAATTACTTATTTTTAAACTATTTATTATTATAGTGTTAATAATCTTAATATTAGAATTAATAATAGTATTAGGACATAATATTGTTATGTTAAAAGTTTTTTAAATTTTGCCTGAATACTGTTTAAGAGGGCTCAAAATGTGTTTCCAGATATTTTTTAGTCAGTCTTTATTTAGTCAGTTTTTATTTAACAACATTTATTATGTATATCTTATTAAACTTAATCAAAAATTATAAATATACTTAATCAAGTATATTTAAATATATTGGGGTGGGGCGAAAAAGTATAACTGTGTGGCATAAATCAAACATAGTGAAAAAATTTTTCTATCAGAGCTTGTTAACAGGATGCAACTTTGATATTTAAAAAAAGCTAATAATTCGAAAATTTTAAAATTCGTAGCAAAATCAATAAATGATATAAAACTTTACTTCAAAAATTTTAAAATTCGTAGCAAAATCAATAAATGATATAAAACTTTACTTAAAAATGAAATAATTATTATTTATATCTTTAAATGCTCTACCAGGTTATAAAGTGTCATTCCACATTAAGTCTGGTTTATTTTCACATTTGTAGGCTCTGTCCTAAATTTTTTTTAGCTAGAGAATCAATGCTTTGCCTGCAAGTAATTTATCACAGGCCTTCCTAACTGTTGTATAGGGTGTAATGACAAGTAATTTATTAATCAGACTTTTGAACTAACTATCTGCAATACTATTTTACGCAAACAATTTCATCAGGCGTAGTTGTTGTTTTTTAATCAGATGTAGTTAATAAACGTAAATTGTATTTTTTAAAAACAATTAGTTTTATGAAAAACGGGTTGATTATTTTATGTGCAAAAATGTTTGACCGTTACAGAATTTAAAATGGAAAAATATGCCAGAGAAAAATACGCCGGCAAAGTAGATATTGTTGTTAAAAACATGTTTTATTAACTCTTGATCACTTGTGTTTAAGCACTAAATTAATTTTAACATGAATAACACATTTTGTGATCCATCTTAGAATATCTAGTTAAAGTTGAAAGAAGAAGATGAAAATAAAGTAGTTTATATTTTTTAAATTCTTAGATGATTTGCTGCTGCTGATATAAGAAGTCTAAGAGTTAAGTTTGTAGCTGTTAGCCATCTTGCATTGATCAGAGTGCCTTTTGAATTGGAAAATTGCATATGAAATAGAAGGTTTTTGATTCAGCTACCGATCACGGTTTAGTCTCTTAAACTCTTCTCCATGGTTTTCCTCTCATTATGCTACTGCAATTTCCAATCGTAATCATTACTTTCTAATCTAGCGCCAAAACAATTCTCTAGAAAACCCACATCTGTTTACTATTGCTAGAAACCATTGTAAAAAGGTTTTGTCTAATGTCAAAGCCTGCTATTCTCAGGTCACAAAATCTTGCATTTTGTCTCAAAAACTCCAAAGTATCATAAAGCTCTCGTGATTATTGGAGAATCTTTAACAGTGTCTATAATAAAGGCAAATCTGTTCCTCAACTCTTCCATGTTCAGATTTAGTTACCTCACTTAAAGACTAAAGCTGAATTGTTTGCTAAGAACTTTTCATCAATATCATCTCTTGATTTAACTTATCACATCCTACCTGATATAGCCGACAAACAGGTTGATCCATTGCTTGACATTCGTATCACTCCAGCTTCTGTATCCAAAGTGCTTTTCCGACTTTTCTAAAGCTTGTGGTCCATCCAACATACCTGTTATAGCCTTGCAGCTCCAGAGCTGTCGTCTACACTTTCAAAACTATTTAAGAAGTGCTTATCAGAGTCTTGTTTTCCAGCCTGCTGGAAAGCAGCATCTGTTATCTCTATTTACAAAAATACTGGAGAGCGATCTGATTTGTCTAACTACGGTCTCATTAGTCTTCTTCTTATCATTAGCAAGGTTTTTGGATCTTTAATTAACAAACACTTAATCTCTCATCTTGAATCTAATAACTTACTTTCTTATCATCAATATAAACTTTGATCTTCTTGTTCTCTGCTGATTTATTTAACATAATAACTTATTGTGCATTAGATAGATGTGGAGAGGTTACGGCTATTGCTCTTGACATTTCTAAAGCCTTTGATAAAGTTTGGTATGGTCTTCTCCATAGGCTCTTTTCTTACAGTGTATCAGCTAACATTTTTAAGATTATTGAATCCTTCCTTACCAATCATAGTATAAAGGTTGTCCTTGACGGACAGCACTCTCCCTCATTTCCATTTATCTGTGGCCCAATACTTTTTTTGATTTACATTAATGATCTCCCAGAAATTCTCACATCACTCCCAGAAATTCTCACATCACTCACAAGGTGCTATTGTTTGGTGATGATACTACCAATTGTTCTTGTTTTGATAAGGAACCAACACTCTTTGATTGTTTGTAAGGGGCATTTAAGTTTGAAAAGAATCTCCCTTCTGCTACAGCATAGGGCTCTAAGTGGCTGATGAACTTAAACTCAGATATAATTCAATTTTTTTTAGCTAATCATTATAGATTGAACCTTTTTATTGTGCTCGGCACTTTCTTACTCTTTTCTATTCTTTATCTCTATAAATTTCAAATCCATTCTTGTATGCAATACTGTTGCCATATCTGGAGAGGATCTTTGAATGATGCTTTTTCTCTTTTAAACATCATCAAAAATATGTTGTAAACATAGTTGGACCTGCTCTTCGAGCCAACCTTCGACCATTTTTGCATAATCGTAATGTAGCTTCTCTTTCTCTTTTCTATAAAAGCTATAATGGATGCTGCTCTAAATAGAAAGCGTCTCTTGAACCATCTACTAAAATTCATTCTTGTGTTACTTGGCATTCAATCAAGTCTCATCCTTTTACTGTGACTGTTTTTAAGTGCTACAAAAATTCTCATTTGTTTAGTTTTATTCCTAGAACATCAGTACAGATTTTGCTCCCTTTATCTTGTTTTCCTGATTCATATAATCTTTTAATTTGTCTGTTAATCATTATATTTTTTTCAGTATAATTTTTATTTTTGCAGTTTTGCAGGTACTTTCTTTTTTCTGGGCAGAGCTGGTTCATCTGACTCCATTGTTTTAATAGGTTCAGCTGCATCCAAAAGTGTTTTGAAACCCAACTCTGCACCCAAAGATACAAAAACCTGTTTCAGTGTCTAAATGATAGATTCAGCCATACAAAAGTTAAGTTGACTTCCCTGAACTTGAATGCTTGAATATTCTAGATTAGTAAAAATGATTTAAAGAAATTCCAATTTAAAAAAGATGTCAAAAACCTGGAGAGAAGACTAAAAGGCCAATGCTTCCACTTGACATTTGGCATAATCTGGGTTGGTGGTAAGGCCTTCTTGTCAAACAAGAAAGGGTCATAATTACTGGTAATAGATACCAGTGATAACTTGTGCATTATCTATCTGGTTGGGCAAAAAGATTCTGTTTTGGTTCTGTTTTGGTTTTTACTTTTATTTTGTTTTTGTAGGCTTGAAAACCTACATTCGGATCGAACTCGGAACCACTCGTTTATGAAGTGAGTGCTCTACCACTACACCACTACCGCATGTCACTTTACTGGAAACTGTATTATCTTGATAATACAGTTTCCAGTAAAGTGACTTACTTGTCAAAATCATTTCATTAGTAGCTTATTTATATTAGTAGCTTTATTTCATTAGTAGCTTATTTATATTAGTAGCTTCATTAGTGAAAATGGCTAGCTTCATGATAACAAAACTTCTCATGAGCTTTCTTCCAATTAAGTTAGCAGAATAATTCTGTTGGTAAGCAGAATAATTCTGTTGTATAGGTAAAGGTAAGCAGAATAATTCTGTTGATCAACGTCAAACTCCTCCTTCATCTATTAAGCTGTTTGTTTCCTGCCTAGGATGATGAATGGATCTTCTAAACTCTTTTCATAGGTTTTTGCCTGTGCTTTCTTGATAGTGGCTATACAACTCTTCCTATTATCTCCTAATGAAGGTATAGCTCTAAAACTCAGTTTAATTGTTCTGAGGCTTGTAGTAAGGTTTCCCGAACTCTGTTGTAGCTCTCAAAGAGGCTGATTCCATCAACAGCTGCAAAATATTAGAGTATTAACAATGCCATGTTGCTCATGGATGGTGTCCCTGTTAATGCTTTTGGTGTGCATTGTTGACGTAACATAAGAAGCCCTATGCTACGACTTAAGGTTAATTAACAGGACTGAGAAAATTGCATAGCTCATTGCTCAGGAGGCTGTGTTCTATCTTTGAATGAGTCAAGTTCTCTTTAAACCTAAAACATACCAAAAGTTACCCAAAATATTTAGCTTAAAAAGCTTAAAAAACCATCCCCACCAATTAACTGTTTAATATATCTTTTACTAATATTTGTGCTCTACAAAACAACCTTCCATTAGTTTAATCTTGCAAAATTGACCAGAATTGCTTGCTCTTAGAATAACTAATTTAAATTTTGCTATTCTTACTTTTGATCTCAGTGTTGATAGGTACAATCCTTTGATTTTCATAGACTCCAATAGTCACATGCTTGGCTTAGGGGTATATATTTGCATCAATTCACCTCAATTCAAGAAAATGAGTCACAAATTTAACTATCTACTCAGATAGTTAAATTTGTGACTCATTTTCTTGACAACCCTAATCATTTACGTTCACTCCTTGATTTATGTCTGGTCTCTAATCCTACCTTATAACTCATCCTATCATTGCACTACCTACTACTACCCTAAAGCTAACTGGGACTCTTTGTGATTTTCTTCATGACAGTCCTTGGGTTCAGAAATGGAAGGCAGAAATGGAAACTTTTATTTCTTTTCATTGGTTCCAAGTCAAGCCTCATTCTACTCAATGGTTTTCACCCTCTTGTGCAGCTGCTATATATAATCGTAATCATTTTTTATCTTTTTCAAAAGAACAACCCTCTTGAGAACAAATGGCTATTTATTAATGCAAGAAATCGATGTAAAAAGGTGCTGTCAGGTGCTAGGCTCCATTATTCTTAGTTCACTAAATCTCGTATTTTATCTCAGAAGTCAGGCTCTAGAGACTTTTAGAAAATCTTCAACAACGTTGTTAACGAAGGTAGAACATTCCATCTCTCATTCATGGGCCTGATCATATTACCTCTCCCAAGGATATTAGATGTTTAATTTATTTAATTTGGTTACTAAGTAAACTCAGGTTTACTTGGTAGCTAGTTTTTATGTGACCATAAAAATAAAACAAATAAAATTATAAATTCATCAATCAGTATGTAAAACAACATTAAGTAAATAAATAAATGTTCTAGTCGGATGATAATGGAGAAATTGGATAAAATGGAAAAACAATCATCATAAGACTAATTACCTAAAAAAAATTATATATATATATATATCCCTAAATAAATCAGTCGATAAAAAATAAATGAATAAAACCAATAAAATCGAATAATAAAAGAAAGTATAAAACATTTAAAAAACAAAAACATACTGCATTTAAAAATATATATTTAAGTTAATTAAGTTTGTGTTTTTGCATTAATTTAAAATCATTTTCATATTATAATACATAATATGAAAATGGTTTTAAATTAATGCATAATCACGAAATCAATTTTTTGCGTCAGATTTTTCAGAGCAGATGCTTTTTGCCTGAAAAAATTCTTTTAAAGATTCCAGTCATAAATCTTGTCATAATGTCATAATGCATTCAACAGATAAAGTTTGTTAACATTACAGGATGGCCTAACATTTTTAAAGTAACTTGAGTTCTTGGAATGAAGCTGTTTTATTGTTCAACTGGAAATTTTAAATAAAGGAAAAAGGCAATTATGATCTTCATAAAGTTTATCTTGCCAAAAAGCTTAATAAAAAGCATAAAAAATATTGACTAAATAAAAAGATTATTACATGCTTTATAATACACTGTAATACTGCACATAAAGTTATCTATAAAATTGTTTTTTTATTAAAGTTTTAACTATTTTATTAATTCAAAATAACTTTTAAAACAGCCTTAATGTTAATCATTGAAATGTAAATTTGATAATTTAAAAAGGAATGAACAAAGAGTTTCTTTTTTATTTATTTGTATAAAACATTTGTTTAAATAAGTTCCAGTAATAAATGTTTTTAATAAACTTTTTTTGAGAAACCATATCTCAAAAAAAACTTCTGGAAAATGAATTTATCTTGACCAAAATGAAAAACCATTCATTAATCTTGAAAATGATTAGACAGAGCTAATCTTAAAAATAGTTAGACAGAACAGGACTTTAGTACATACATCAATTATCTTATAGCCTGCTGCCGCAAAGGAGTGTTGCTACATTGACTGAGGGTTTGAACTGGGACAGCAATCCTTTTGTTCACTGTTGATCATTTTTTTCTTCTTTTTCTAAAATTTAAAGCACATCTTCACATCTGCTGAATGCTGACTTGGATTTCTAAGGCTTTATATGCAATAAAAGCCCAACTGATTGTTATTTCAGTGTAGTGCCATCAGTAATGTTTTCATAATGAACTTGTCCTGAGTTTAAGTTGCTTTAATCAATGTTGTTCAATATTTAATATTAAACAACATATTTTTTTTTATATTTTTACTTTATTTGTATTATTTTTATATTGATCTGCGATTATTTTTATTTTAAATGTTATTCAGCATTTATTACTATTACTTAAATTTATTATTTTTAGTTATTTTTATTTATATTTAAAAAAAAAATTATTTTTTCAGATCTTGTGAAGCTAACTCTCCTCCCCTTGACTATGATGGTAAATTTTATTTTTTTTATTAAAAGTTAATAGTATTGTGTTATATTTTTTTTAGGTATTAATTTTTTTATCTAGTTAGATTTATTTGATCGTTTATTATGTAGCTGGTGTTTGAAATACATGTGTAACTTTTACATTATTTTTATTAAAATATTTATAAAAATAATGAGTTTTTAAAAAACTTTTATCAAATATCTTGTTATGAGATTTATAAAAAAAGAACAGTTAAACTAAATAACATGATTTTTAAATAGTTCTTTATTATTATTATTATAAATTTATTATATCTTATGTAAACTTAGTTACATAAATATTTTATAAAATAACAAAATAAATAGTTGGTTTTAATAAATTTTTAGATTTATAACAAATTAAATATCAGCAAGCCATGTCCCAGCAATTTAACTCTGGAAAGAAAACTCATATAAAAGAGGCTAGAACTACTAAATTTCTGAATAAAAAACTCATATAAAACAGACTAGAGCTAGTAAATTTCAGAATGAAAAACTCATATATACAGGCTAGATCTTGTAAATTCCAGAATGAAAAACACAAATAAAACTGGCTAGAGCTAGTAAATTTCAAAATAAAAAGTTTATCTGACGTACTGCTAGATATGTTGTTGTAGAGGTCAAATTAAAATTTTCACTAAGGTAATCAGGGTTAAGGGAGAGTTAATTGGTTGAGAGAGTTAATTGGTTGAGAGAGTTAATTGGTTGAGAGAGTTAATTGGTTGAGAGAGTTAATTGGTTGAGAGAGTTAATTGGTTGAGAGAGTTAATTGGTTGAGAGAGTTAATTGGTTGAGAGAGTTAATTGGTTGAGAGAGTTAATTGGTTGAGAGAGTTAATTGGTTGAGAGAGTTAAAAGTTTAAAAGAAATAAGATTAAGATTTTTACCTGTTCCTGATTTTTTTGTTTTGTTTTTTTGTTTGAAAAAAATATTTAACTTCAGTTTGTTTCTAGATATTTTGTTTGGAAGTCAAAGGAAAATTATTTAATAACAAGGTTATAAAATATGAATAATATTTTAGACTCAGAGAAATTGAAAATAGATCTTAGAACTAAAAAATTTAAAATAAATCTTTCTTTAAAGTTACATCTGTAAAATGTATTTTTGATCTGGTTTTGAGAGGATACCAGAATACTTTTTTTTTTTTTTTTTCAATTCATTTCATTTGTTAGTCAATTATTTTATTGGTAACTAAAAAATTAAAAAAAAAAAAAAATTGTAGAATTAGTGATGCTTTTTAGTCTCTTTAGGTTTTTAACTGGTTTTTAACTGGTTTTAAAATTGGTTTTAGTAAATTTGATGTATGCATAAAGGTAACAGTTGATGGTACAATATTTAATAGTTAATACAAAAATAATATTTAATAAACCTTAAAGTTTACCCACCCTAAATGGGTAATTTAATGCATAGTAGTGTATTTGCTTCAAACACAAGAATTTCTGAGTTTTTTATTGTTACTTTTGTTACTTTTTTTTTTTATTGTTACTTTTGTTATTTGTTTTTTTGGTTTTGTTGAAAGTTTTTAAAATTATGTAGTGTTATTTTTTTAACATATACATTTTAAACTTTAAAATCAATTTACCACAGTTCTTTCAGATTTCTTTAACATAATTTTTCAGCTTTTTATAACTTCTATTTTATAACTTCTTTTTTTTTATCTTCTCTTTTATAGCATCTGTTTCAAAAAATTGCATAATGCGAAGATGGGAAGATTCTAAGTTTCAAAATCTTGACAGTATCTTTTCACAAAAAAAAAAAAAGTTCAGAACTAAATTTTAATTCAGTTAAATTGATGATTTAAAGATTCAAATCAATTTTTCATGACAATTGATGATTAAAGAAATAAAAGAATTAAGATTAAAGAAATCAATTTTTATTTTTTATTACTTTATTTAGATTTCTATTTTATTAGATTAGATCCTCATTCTTTAACTAATACAGAATTTATTTTGCTGGAGGATATCACACATTCTTTTAAAAGACCTTGTGTACTAGACTTAAAAATGGGCACTCGATGTTTTGGAGATTATAGTTCTCCTACTAAATGTGAGCGCAAAAAAAAAAGATCTGAGGAATCTACCTCTGCAACACTTGGTGTGAGACTTTGTGGAATGATGGTGAGAATTCTTTATATACTTGACTAAATACATTAACAAAAAATACAAGTTGAATTTTCTTTTTTTAATTTCGTTTTTTATAAATTGGTCCAAAGGTGTATAATTTTGAGGAGGGTGTTTTTTTAAGGTTTATAATTCTGAAGAAGGTGTCTATTCATTTACTGATAAGTATGAAGGAAGGCGTTTTAATAACCAAGAATTCTGTTCTGCTGTCAAAAGATTTTTTTACAATGGGTCAAAGTATCGTACTGAATTGTTTATACCACTTAATACAAAATTAAAAATATTGTTAGAACAGTTTGAAAAAATTGAGTGTTACAGATTTTACTGTAGCTCGTTATTACTTTTGTATGATGGAAATACTGATATTACACCTCACATTGAAGTGAAAATGATTGATTTTGCTCAAACGCGTGTCAAAGAGGAACCTAGCAACCATCATGTCGGCCCAGATAGAGGCTATATATTAGGAATTAAAACATTAATTAAAATTACAGACGAACTTATTCAGAAGTTTGACTTATATTAGATTATTATGTATTCTATAATTGCTAGGTAGTTTTTATGTTGATAAAATATAATGATTTTTTTTGTAAACAATAAAAACTACAAAAGAATCAGAAGAGAAAGGAATTTTTAAATCTAAAGATCTTCAAATTTTCTTTCTAGTCTTATAATTAGTAGAAGTTAAGTTCGTATAAAATTTTTGTGTTTTTTAATCTGCTTTTTATCAAACATTATTTTTAAAATTGTTATAAATATTTTGTGTAGTTTTTTTATAATTTCTTTATTTACTTACCAATTGAAAATTTTTACCTTTTTTTTTTTTGGGAAATATAAGCTTGCCTCTGTAAATAAAATTTAATAAGGTTAATATGTCCTTATACTTGTAGATATGAAAAGGTTTATTAAAATTATACCTTACATGTATTATAGTTTGAAACATAATTTATTTATTTGTGTTGTAAAATTTTATTTTGGTATTACAGAAAAGGTTGATTTTTAAATGGATTATTTGTTACTTTTTTTGATTGAGTGATATTAATTTAAATTTATAATTTTTTTATTTTGTGTTCAATTTAACTATAGTTATGTTATATCAAAATACTGTTAAATACTCAGATGCTTTAAACACTACTTAGATGCTTTAAACACTACTTAGATGCTTTAAACACTACTTAGATGCTTTAAACACTACTCAGATGCTTTAAACACTACTCAGATGCTTTAAACACTACTCAGATGCTTTAAACACTACTCAGATGCTTTAAACACTACTCGGATGCTTTAAACACTACTCGGATGCTTTAAACACTACTCAGATGCTTTAAACACTACTCAGATGCTTTAAACACTACTCGGATGCTTTAAACACTACTTAGATGCTTTAAACACTACTCAGATGTTTTAAACACTACTCAGATGCTTTAAACACTACTCAGATGTTTTAAACACTACTCAGATGCTTTAAACACTACTTAATTGAATTAATATTTAAAAAAATTGATATATTAAAATATTGAGTACTTTTAACTGATTTTACGTTCTTGATAACCGATAATCCTTATTTATTGTTCGCTATATATTGTCAGCAATTTGCCAGCCGAGAACCAGAAGATGTATGTTTATTTTTTGTGTTACCGAGAAGTTTTAGATTTTAGTATGTAAAGATTTTCTGCCAGAAAGTCCAACTGTGGACATACAATCGGTTGTTTCTCACCTGGCGAATTGTTATATCAATTTTTTTGTTGTTTGTTAATAATAACAGATATTTCTAGCTCTTAAGCATTTAGCTATAAAAAAAGTGATTAAAGTTTTCAAAAAAATAGAAATTAAATACGGAGTAAAAACAAAAAAGTAAAGAATATAGCAACAAAAAAAATTTGAGTATGAGAAAATATATCACTTGAAAGATTTTTATTTTAGCAAAATATCAACTAGTGATGCCACGAATATTTAGTGGCTATCCTATTGAGCAACTTTTTTGACAATTCGGTATTCTGCCGAATACTAGATTGTAACGAAGAAAAATCTAAAAAAGGAATACATGTAACTACTTTTTTTATTTTTTATTTTATTAAATAGCGTATTTGATATTTAAAATCTATAGGTGGTAAGTTATAATAAAAACATGTTTATCGTTTAATGATAGGAAATGATTGTACTTTTCCTAATAAATTATACATACTTCCGAAAATAGCCATTCACTATAGTCAATGGCTATTTTTGTATACATATATGTATACTGCCACCCGAAAATAATAAGAAAATTTTAGCAAGTTCTGATAGGATAATGTTTTGTGTTTGCTGACCACCACTCTTAAAGGTTTGCTGTCCAATTTAATCGAACAGTTTTATGAAAAAATCAATTTCATTTTCGATTTGACTTTTCTTTACAACCTTTCCATATGTGCGCATATTTTCTGTAAAGGTTAGTTTGATCGTTTTCATTTACATTTCTTTTTCTTACGAAATGGAGATGAATCATTATTGGAATTTTTTTGCTCGTTGTGTTTTAACAAACCCCCGAAAATTAGTTTTAAAACGTGCATCTGTAAAAAAGCAACCGTACAATTGTCATTCTCATTAAAGTTAAACCATATTTTAAGTTCAGGTTGTAGTAAAGATATCTTTTTCAATAAGTTTGGCGTTCTTTTTGTTATATCTATTTATAGCAACTTTTGAAGTGACCTCAGAAGTGCATGATATACCTGAGTTTGTTATTTTTGTTTTATGAATTGTTTGAAGAGTATGATGTTTTTACACATAGTTAAAACAATTTGAGATAATAGTAAATAATTAATGCGTCCTGTGACACGGTCTAGCCACAAATGAAACAAAAACGCCCACAGCATAGTTAAAATATGCACCAATGAAGCAAGTCGAAACCCTCAAAATAACTGTTGCCAAATATTCAGTGCTTTGGCCGACCGGCCAGCCGAATGTTCGGTATTCGGCAAAATCACTGTTAGTAACATCTCTTATATGAAGGGACTCATACGGTTTCAACTGAAAAATCACTCTTTTAAAGTAAAAAAAATGAAAATTCTGAAAAACATTATCAAAGTATTTTATTTAACTTACTTCCTCTAAATTTATTGACAGATTTCTCTTTGTGAAAATAAAAGATTTAAAAAAACAAATTTGGTGTTTTCAGTTAGAGGGCATTTTTAAATTGACTCTGCAACCTGGTGGCCCATTAAATCTAAGAGGACATATTTGAGCAATAGATCTTATGGAAAAAATGTACTAAATGTAACAAAATAATGTTTTCAATCTCAAAATGCCGTAAGATGTCAGTTTCTTCTGATGAAGCAAGGGAGATTTATAAAAGTAAAGGGCATAAATCATATTCTATTCAAGTATGCGAAAATTGATCTGCAAAGTTGATTAAATGTATAGAGTGTTTTTGACGGCGGTTAAGACGTTTTAACTCACTTTTGCCTCTACAACTCCAGACAGTAACTGCATCGTTACTGTCTGGAGTTGTAGAGAAATGAATAATAAAGTTGTATTAAACTTTTTAATTTAGTTATATTCTGGCCTTAAATAAAATTCCAATAGTTTTAGACGCTTTAGTGCAAATGTAATAAATATGTTGTTTCCATGTGATCTTCTCGTCAAGAAAAACACCTAAAAGTTTTGTTACTAAATCTTTATTTATTTCAACATGATCAATAAAAATTTGCGGCATACTTGTGGGTAAGGAACGTTTTTTGGAGAGGGGATAAAAGAGATATCATTTTGTTTTATTTATGTGTAGAGTTAATTTGAAGCAATTTGATACTTTTTGCAGTTCATCATTCATAGTCAAAATTTGACTACTACTATTTAATAGTGGTAAATATCATTATTAAAGAGAAACAAGTTGGTCTCATCTGCAAACATTGCAGATTAAATGCAGTATGCATATTATAAGAATTGATGACGAACACTGCAGTTTTTACAAATTTCTTTTCTGATTTTGAAATTATGTCTTCTTGTATTGGGCTGATACGAGGCAAAAATATTACAATCTTGTTCTACAATATTTATCTTTTTACATAGTTTGTACATTTGAATTAAGTCGCCTCTTTTACGTTTTTTTTCCAGTGTGCTTGAGCCAAGTATTTTAACTCTTGTTTCATAACTTTGTTTTCAAATCTGTGGTACTCATTTAGAAACAAATTCAAGATGGTGTCTTATAAATATTATGTATAGTATCTTAAACATTTTTTTTTGTAAATGTAATGAAATATTTTTTTAAACATTCGACGCATTGAATAAGCTTTTGATGTAGAACTGGTCATGTGACTTTTCCATTTGAGATTTGATTACATTGTAATTCAAAGATCTTTCTTGGTATCAGAGACTGATAATATTTTGTCGCCTATTTTTTTAATATAGCAAAGGTTATTTTTTCCAAAGTGCGTTTAATACGACGTTTTTCACTGTTAAATTGTAATTGCCAGATCTCTGATCATTCGCAGGCTTGGTTAGTGTCATTCTGAGGCAATTGACCATTTCAGAGCTAGCTACTTTCCTGATTAACTTAATGTTATCTGAAAAGAACTTAGAGTGTTCTAAAATTTCTGGTAAGTTGTTGATATATAAAATGAATAAGATTGGAGAAATTACAGATTCTTAGGGAACACCGCTTGTTATCATTTCCCAGTTTGATGCTTTACTGCCTTGTATCACTTTTTGATGTCGATTAGGCTAATCCAGTTGCGTATGACATTTGATGTTCCATATGACTTAAGTTTGATTAATAATCGTTTATTAGGTACCCTATCAAAGGCTTTAAAAATGTCTAATGGAATGCTTTCTGACAGCGATTTACTGAAGCGATTTATATATTGTGTCGGATATAATACTTTAAATTGATTAATACTTTAAATTGAGTAAATGAAACTGTAGATGCTAGCAATTAACCTGTTCCCTTTTTTAAATATTGGAGTTATGTCTGCTAATATCCATTTCTATTATTGGCTCACAAGGGTAGCATAAAAAATAACTTTTTAGAATCGGTAAATTATTGGTATTCTCCATCGTAAAGATTTACAGTGCTCACACTACTTGGTTAGGTTCTTTAATTAGTTCATTACTGGTTGCTAAAGCTCGGATGGTATTTTTTAAATCGTTTTTGCTGTTAATATATTTGAATAGTAGTTTTGGATTGTTGATTTACTTACAAGATTCTTTTCAAATTAACGTTTGGTTGTAGAACTTTACTCTTTAAGTCTTTGCACACTGCTTTGTATTTTATTTTGAATTTAGCCTGTCTATTGTTTTTAAATATAAATTTAACCATAACAACTTTTGATACGCACTAAATCTTTAAATTCTTGCGTGATCCAAGGAGATCTATTGGCATTATGAGTTCTAGATTGTTGTGGTATAAAAGATTTTATGATATTTGAGTAAATTAATAAAAATTTATTATGAATTTTGTCTGCAGTTAAATTCTTAAAATGCATTGTCCAGTTCATTCCTTCAACCACTCTACTTATTTCAGAACAGTCTCCATTATAATAGTCAAAGTATTTATATGGTGTTTAGTTTTCGCTTTTAGTAAATAACTAAGAAAAAATTAAAATAACTCAAGTTTAGATATTTTTAAAATAATTTGTTTTAATTTCTATATTTAAACAAGCATGTTGTTTGAAAAAGGAATAATGAAACTGTGTAGTGCAAAAAAAAAAAAAAAAATTAAACTGTTAGTATATCAATATATGACATAGTTTCATAGTTACATAAATTAAGACAGTATTAGACTATTATTCTTAAAACGTTTTATAATTGGTGAGGTTTTCTGCAAATCATCAAACCCAAAAATTGCCCCTACTTTACTTGAGAGTCTGGATCCACCAAATCAAAAAACCGCCATCCCCTCTCCTTCTTTCCAAGATGATCTGGATCAACCGAATCAAAAAAGCCTGAAAATTGTCCCTTTTTCCTTACTAAATTAACTTTATCCGCCCGTAAAATCACATTAACACTCATTAAATTTAACAAGATTTAATGTCTGT